TCAAGAGGAATAGAATCAAGGCATGTTTGAACATGCTTTTCCATTTGAGCTTCAGTAGTAGGGGCAGGCATCATCCGGTAGTTGAATTTAGCATAACCCCAGCACTGTTCAATGAAGTTCAATTCACAATGGAATTTAGGATAAAAAACTGCCTTGTGTCCATAGCCTTCTACCAATTCTTCAATTGCAGACTTTTGAGCTTGAAAATCTGGCTGGTTAAACAGAATTCGTCGACAGCAGCATACTGATTGTGCTGATTTGTCAGCACACTTGAAACCTTTGCATTGTGTGTGTTTTCCATCAACATTAATTCCTCGTTCTTGAAGGATTTGGGCCATCCCTTTAAATTGGCCAGAATGATGAGGGTGGTTATCAGGGAAATAAAATGATTGTAATGAACCATCAGGGAGGACTCCAGAACGTATGGGAGGGGCACCAGATGTGTCTCTAGCTTTCCACCCTGGATTTTTAGGCATTTGACGTGTAGATAATGCATTACTTGCTCTTTTTTGATGAGAAGTAGCATTGTCAAATGCAAAGAGAGCTGTTTTGCTAGGGAAACAGCTCTCAAAGCACTTGATAGCCTGTAAGAGCTGCTGATAAAGATCATCATGGGTGAAATACCCATCCCAGTTCTTGCCAGCTCTAAAGTAAATTCGTGCCTCCTGTGATCTATAAGAATAATTTCAGTCTATTACTACTGAAATGAGTTATAATACATACCTATCTGATGACTTTAGCCATCCAAACTGACTACAGAAGTCTGAGACCATAATAGAGAAGCCTTCACCCTTTGCTCTCAGTTTGGCAGAAGTACTATCATGGACCCACATTATTTTCCTCTGATCATTTGCATAAAAGGTTGATTCATCATGGGTGACAAGAATAAGAGAGCCAGCCTCCATCTCCTTCTCATAATCAGCCCAGAGTGGGAGGAAAACATTCTGCCTGTAATGAACAACATCCTCACACTTGTGCCCATCCACATACATTCCATTTGGAGCTTTGCCATAGTGGTACCCTATAACATGCATCCATTTCCTTACAGTTTGTAAGGTAATAGGTTTAGAACGGCCTAGCTTAGCCAGTAGGGATGGTTGGTTTAGATAGTCTTGGACGTCCTGAGCAGATAAGTACACCTTCCCAAGACCTTGTAAATGAGTATGAATTTCTGATGCAAGATCTTCATCACTAATAATGGACCTCTTCCATCTCCCATACAAGTTGATAGGATAGAAAGTGTCATCATTAAAGTGTAGCCAGGCCCAATACCGAAGTTTTCTAGCCAAGTATTCACCACAGTTCAATGTTACAGAAGCAGCAAGTACAGAAGCTTCCTTCCAACCCATATCCTCACTATCAACATACAGGCGCAAGAAGACAAGCAGAGCAGTGACTCGTGCACAGAGTAATTTGTCTATGTCCTTTCTCTCAGACATGACTTGGAAGTGCCAGATAGTATCAGCTAGACTTGGGTCATTACAGTCTGGTGCAACAAATAGATGCTTAGAGTCATCAGCAACATCTGGCAGGTCACACAGTGTACTTGTCTGCTGGAAGGCATGAATTTGGGTATGCAATGCAGCAATCTGGACTGGTACAGGTACAGGACCAATGTGTGGGAGTACAGAAGTGTTTGCTGTTACTTCTTGGTCAAAGCGTGTGAGTGAGCGCCCTACTCCTTGTTCTCTGATACTATTAATGTCTGTGTCAACATATTGACCTTTACTTGCATTGTAGTCCTGTGAAAATTGCTCTGGTGCACCGTGCTGCAAAGTGAGGGTTCCAGCAGTTGCGGATGACCCCTTGTGTGAATTCCTGAGGATTGTGTGTACAGATTGGCTCTCTGGCTGATGATTGATTGAGATAGTGTCTTCTTCATCACAGTTTGCAGTAGGGATAGGCTCAGAGGACGACGACGAAGCTGCGTTGGAGTCTCTACTGGTCGGAAGTGAAAGTGATGCCTTGAGCAGAGCAACACCCCCACCCGGCAGAACGCCTACCTCAACATCCGCACGAGTAGCATTGATTGCATCATTGTAACGGTTCTTCTTCTCTGTCGCCTCAAGATCATTCAAACTGCAAACCCGTATCACTGCAACTCCACCAGTGAGCCTTGCAAGACGATCTTGAAGCTTTGTCTTATTGTATTCGCCTGTCGTCGGGTTGTTCAGTGCAGAGCGAATCTGTTCACAGTGCGCCTGAATGGCATCCTTTGAACCTTTGCCATTGAAGAAGATGGTGTCCTCCTTCGTGATCGTCACAGACCCAGTTGAACCAAGTAAATCTGGTGTTGCGCGATCGAGCTTTATGTCAAGCTTGTCAGTAAAGACGGTACCACTGGTGAGGATTGCAAGGTCACCTAGAATGCCCTTCTGATTGTCACCAAACCCAGGAGCCTTGACTGCGGCCACCTGCAGCTGACCACGGACCTTGTTCAGTGTGCATGCCTCAAGTGCCTCACCGTCAACGTCTTCAGCAACAATGAGAAGTGGTCAACGAGTCTGTGCAGCTGCTTTGAGTGAAGGTGTGATGTCCTGCAACGACAAGATCTTCTTCTCGGACAGCAAAACGAGCGGTCTATTGAACTCGATCTTCTGGCTCTTGGCATCCGTGACGAAATACGGTGAAATGTAACCTTGGTCAAAACACATTCCCTCCACGATTTCGATATTGTCCTCAATTGTACGTCCTTCTTTGACTGTGATAACTCCCTCCTTGCCAACTTTCTCTATGGTGGTCACGATGGGATTGCCAACATGTGTATTGCTGTTCATGGAAAGACTTGCAATTCGTGCAATTTCCTCTGTCGTTGTAAGGGCCTTCGTGTTCTTTGAAGGGGAGTCAACTGTACATGGATGACTGAGTAAGTTTTCCTCCAGTGATACTGATCTATCGAGTCCAGATTGTGAGAGCAATGCATTTTGAATGTGCTCAGGGATTGGGATGCCTTGCTGGATTGATCTGAAGGCATGGATCTGGGTGTGTAGAGCCACAACCTGACCTTCTGTGAACGACACCAGAGATGCTGGCATTGAGCTACTGCTGGACCTATTGTCTTCATCATGAATGTTGATTGCAGGAAGATCGATGTCTATTGGTTGTAATTCGTGCCCATTGCTGGATTGCTCCCAAGGGACATCCACTTCAAGTGGCATGTCAGCTGTATGGTGGGGCATGGGAGTAGTAGGAAAGAAACTGCAAATGTCTTGATAGCCTTGCAAACAAAGTTTTGAGGATTCTTTCTGGCTTTTAGCTTTGAGGTACCTTTGAGTACGGCCTGGTTTCTGTTCTGTAAGACTGACTTTCTTGTACTTTGTAGGTTGTTTCCAGTTCTTGATATCAAGGAGCCAGGCTGAGAGTCCAACGGACAGAGAGTCAAACAAGGCATTTGCACCATCTTCATCAAGCAATTCTGTACATTCCAAATCTGCCTCCTCATCACTGTCCATCAATTCATCAGGCTCAATTGGGACAACAGTCTTTACATCCTCTCCAAAACCTGGAGTGTTGAACTCTTCCTCATTGTCAGTCCATAAGATTTGGCTTGAACTTGTAGCCTATTTCTTGGTAAGCTATATTGTTTATTACTCAGTCTTAAGCATATCTTACAGGTTTATCACTCCTCAGATTCTGTATTCTGGCTTTATCCCTTCCCTTTCGCCAGGGCATTATAGGCAGAACAGAGGAAAATGGGTCTAAATAGCTGATATTTACTGATCAAATGTACATTACTCATCAGGCACGTGTACTATATAAGGAAATAATTATATAATAGATATTTAACCGAAGTGGCAAAAATCTTCGGGAAAAAATTCAAAATTTCACCAAATTGCATTTCTGTACATTTGGTACCAAAAAAAAAAGTTTTTTTTTTTTGGAAATAACTCACTCAAATCTCAAT